ATTTTACTTTCTGTCTTAATGATTTTGACTACTCTAGGTATCTCATAAGTGGTATCTTCTTATAATGATGTCTCTTCCTATAAGGGCACTAATCCTATCATGAGGGCCCCACTCTCATGACCTAATCTAACCATAATTATTTCCCTTGAGATCATCATACTAAGTGAAGTCAGTCAGACAGAGAAAGACAAATATCATATGATATCACTTATATGCAGAATCTAAAAAAAATGATACAAATGGACTTATTTACAAAACAGAAATAGACTTAGAGAATGAACTAATGGTTACCAGGGGGGAAGGGTTGGGGGGGAGGAATAAGTTGGGAGTTTGGGATTGACATGTACACACTGCTATATTTAAAATAGATAACCAACAAGGACCTACTGTATAGCACAGGGAACTCTGTTCAGTATTCTATAATAACCTAAATGGGAAAAGAATTTGAAAAAGAATAGATACATGTATATGTATAACTGAATCACTTTGCTGTACACTTGAAATTAACACAACATTGTTAATCAACTATACTCCAATATAAAATAAAAATTTTTTAAAAACTTAATTATTTCCCAAAGGCCTCATCTCTAAATGCCATCTTATTGGGGGTTAGGGCTTCAGTATATAAATTTTGAGGGGACATAATTCAGTACATAGCACTATACAAATACCTCTTCAGTACATAGCACTATACAAATACCTCTTCAAGACCCTGCTTTCAATTATTCTGGGTATATACCCAGCAGTGGAATTTCTGGTCATATGGTAATTCTATTTTTAATTTTTTGAGGAACTGCCATTCTGTTTTTCACAGTGGCCGTCCCATTTTATATCCCTACCAACAATGCACAAATTTTCCAATTTCCCCATATCCTCATCAACACTTGTGATTTTCTGTTTTTTGATAGTAGTCATACTAATGTGTGTGAGGTGCTATCTCATTGTGATTTTGATTTGCATTTCCCTAATGATTAGTGATGTTGAGCATCTTTTCATGTGCTTACTGGCCATTCAAAAACATATAATATACACTTTTAATATATACTTTATATATTTTAAAAGTACGTGCTAATATAGATGCTTGGGGAAAAACCTGAAAAAAATCATAAATTCAAGGTTACTGATTCTGCTGGCAAGATTAAGGGTAAATTTTTGGTTTCTTTCTTATATTTTTCTATACATTCTAAGTTTTTTAATAAGAAGGCTTTTCTCTTATAATTGTTATTGTCATTATCATCATCTAACATTTATCATTTTGCTCCTGGCACTGCGTTAAGCACTTTACATGAATTCTTTCAAATAAGTCTTATAATCACCACAGGTAACTGGCACCACAATTATTTGTAAATACGCTATTTTGTTTTTTTAAAAAAGTTCAAGAATCTCAGGGCTGTCAAGGTGACTCACCACCAAGTTCATTAGAAATCCCTTTGTGGTCACTTCCATAGCTCATTCTGCCCCCGAGCACTAAGTTAAGCAGGTTGCTCAGTAATAAGACAAGCTTCTTTGTGCTAGTGTTCTCGGAAGCACTCTGTGGAGGTGAATAATTATACATTCCATTTGTTTAAACAATGTAACAGATAATTATGGAGCACCTACTATGCACTAGACACTGGGCTCAGAAGGGATGCTACGAGAAAAGACAGTCTCCACCTTAAGAGTTTGGCAGAATTAGACACATGAACAAGCTTCTGTAGCATCCTATAAACGCTCTCCAGGGAAGCCATGACAGTGATACAAAGAAGGAAGGGCTCTGCCCCAAGGATTTCTATATCTGGTGGCACATCAGAATTATCTGGAGTGCTCTGTAAAGTTACAGACTCTGGAACACCACCCCAGACTTTCTGAATCAGAATCTCTGAATGAATCCCTGGGAATCTGTATTTTAAAATAGTTGCCCAGGTGATTCTGATTTGCAGCCAGGATGAGGAATCACCGGTAGATCCAACTTCTTGACTTGCATGGTATGTTGTAGATGCTATTGTTGACTGGTCAAGTAATCTCTTTTCAGATAAAAGAGGGAGGGAGGAGTTCTATAGAGTAATAATATAGAAATAAGATGGGTGGGGAAGAATGCTTATGAAGCCTGTGTTTTATTCCCTCATTCAAGCTCAGTCCTATGGGTAATATATCTTGCAGAAGTGTTAAAGAAGACATTTCTCCTTGGTATAATCATTTCGGAAAACAGTATGGTGGTTCCTCAAAAAATTAAAAGTAGAACTACCATGTGATCCAGCAATTCCACTCCTGGGTAAATATCTGAAGGAAACAAAATCAGTATCTCAAAGGAATATCTACACTCCCATGTTCATTGCAGCACTATTCACAATAGCCAAGATATGGAAACAATCTAAATGTCTTTCAATGGATGAATGGATAAAGAAAATTTATATGTTAGAATATCATTCAGACTTAAAAAAGAAAATCCTGCCAACTGCAACAACATGGATGGATCTTGAGGGCACTGTACTATGTGAAATAAGTCAGAGAAAGAAAAATACTGTGTGGTAGCATTTACATATAGTATTTTTTTTTAAGCCAATTTCATAGAAACAGAGAATAGAATGGTGTTTGCTAGAAGCTGGTGGGGAGAGGGAAATGGGAGATGTAGGTACATTATATTTTCATTATATGAAGAATAAGCTCTGAGGATTTAATGCGCAACATGGTGACTATAGCTAATAATATGGTATTATATGCTTAAAAGTTGCTGAGAGTAGCTCTTAAACATTCTCACCACACACCAAAAAGAGTGAACTATGTGAAATGCTGCATATGTTAATAATCTCGATCGTAGTAATTACTCTACAATGCAGATGTATATCAGATCATCACATTGTACACTTTAAATATATACAATTATATTTGTAAATTATTTCTAAATAAGTTTGGGAAACAAAAACAAAATTCTTCAAATGTTTCTTGTCACTCTTAAAATCTAAACTCCGTGAACAAAAACAGAAGACATATTTCCCTAGTAATTTTTTTCTCAACCTAAAACTATTGAATACATCAAAGATTGTTTTATACAGTATTTGTGTAAATATTTCTACCACCCAGCATCCAATTCAATCCCTATTCATCAAACAATTCAACTCGATAAATATCTCTTCTTGGACCAAATATCACTCTTAGACCAAATAAGAAAGCAAATAAGAAATGACCTCTGATCTTAAGGAGAGCAAAGGGCTTTGTAGATAGATAATATAAGGAGAAAGAGAGAAGAGTAGTAGGTAATAAATGCATATACACTGAGAAGAGTTTGATCAGCCCGCAAACAACTTCAGTTCACGTGAACCTTGAGGCTGGATTCATATCTTCCCACACTACTGAATTGCTGGCTGTAAATTTAGAAAGTAACTTATAGTTTCCTATCCCAAATCCACCCTCACCCTCTTTTCCCGGTTACTGGAGACAAAAAAGTGCCCATTGGGGAAAAAACTTAAAATTTCCAGCCTCCTTTATATTTAAGTGGCTGATGTGATGTTAGCAGAAGTCATTGGCTGAGGCTTTCAATAAAACCCTTGTTTCCCCTTCTGCCCTTTCTACTGCCTGAGGTTCAGAAGTGATGACTGGAGCTCCAGCAGCCAAGCAAATCACAGAGACCTTAGCTCTGACATCTCTGTGCCACTGAACTAAGGACAGTCTCTACTTACCTCCAGACTTTTTAATACATGGGAGAAATAACTTTCTGCACGGCAACTGTGTGTTTAAGCCTCTTTAGCCAGGTTTCTGTTCCTACTAACTACCACCTAATAGAAAATGTGCAACATCTATCTCCCAGAGCCTAGATATTATACATAGAGAAAACCGCAAACGTGCTTCAATGTACTTGCATGTGTGGCTTGCAAATTGGATTCCTAAACACCATCAAAGAGCTAATAAACACTCGACTGAGGGATCCTCTATTTCACTCCTCTCAGGAATAGCAGTTAGTTTTCTTGGCAAAGGTCTTGCAGGTATATGGTCAAGTTTGAGACCAAACCCACAGGTTTATATCCGCCTGTGCTCTGTACTTCTACTGCTGTGTGTCATCACTGAGCCATCCCACGAGGCTCTTGGCCTCCCCAATTAGTCAAGGATTAGAAAGGCAGTGTTGACATTTATAAATTCTGTTTCATCATTGGTCATGTCAAAAAGAGACTGCTTTGTTGCCAAATTTGTGGGATTTGGGGAAAGATTCTGCTGTTATGGAAGACTGGGTAGAAAGACAGGCTCCCCTTTCACTCTTACAGAAAATCTACTCCTGCCCCAAAGCTTGCGATTACATTTCCTTTGCTTTGATAAACTACAAGTGGTTTTAAATTGAGTCATAAATTTCTCCAGGCCTTTTAGAGACCAAACCCCTGCCTTTGATTCCCTCACCTCCCATGGCAGTGAAATCTGCTGGAGACCCACTCATACACTTTGTGCACGTTTAGGCTGGGAGTTTGAAATTTACAGGCCAAGCCTTGCAGAGTGACCTCGACTTTTTAGTAGCTTGAGAAGGAACCAGAGAGACTGCAAGTGGGGATTCATCAGGGCTGCAGGTCTTCGAGACAGACAAACCTGCATCTAGAGAAGACCCTCACACCAAATGCTAGAAGTGAACAATTCATTGGTGGCTCCAATAAACTCCTTGAGGTGACTATGCGGACAACTGGCTTTGGAGTCATGGTCTAAAATTAGTTTTTCTTTTTAAAATAATGATTTGTAACATATATACTTTGCCTTGATTGGTAACATATATACCAAGCTGCAGGAACTGAATAACTTTATGTGTAAAGCTGCTACGTTCAGTGAGAAATCATTAGCAAACTCCATCTCACCACTAAGTCCTCGTACATCCCCTTGGCAGGTCATGTGCAGAAGACCCTGGGTGGGTTCGCGGATACCCTCATCTGTCCCTGATTTTCTAGAATCAATGTATCAGGTGAGGGACAGCAAAGTGAATGGGGAGCTTCTCCCTAAGCAGGGGGGTGCTCGCGGCCTGGAAACAGGAGCAGCAATTTCCTCTTACCCACTTCTGCAGGCTGTACTCTTCCAGGTGGCTCAGAGCATGCTGGGCAGGGCTTCACACTTCCCAGTCGTGGCCAATTCCAGTCTGTTCTCTGAGTTCATCTGACCTTAAGCAAAAGAAAATTCCACCTTTGAGGTTTTGCCTGAGGTCAAACCTATCCCTAGCGATATGTATGTATATATGTAAATATGTGTATATATAAAATAATTAGTTAATTCTCATATAATTAGCAGCTTTGAGGTAGGTACTATTACTAGCCTCATATTATGGATGAGGAGACTGAGGCATAAAATGTTAAAAGTAACTTCCCTAAACGCATACAACTAGAGAGTGTTATAAGGATTGAGTTATTGTGTAAAGCACTTGGAATAGAACCTGGTACACAGTTAGTACAATGTAAGTGTTAATTATGATTATGAGAATGATTATTACTCTAACATTCCAGGCACTATACTAGCACTAGAGATACAATGATCAAAAAGATACAGCGTCTGTCCTTTAACAACTCACTGTGTGGTGGGAAAAATTGTCATGCAAATTGATAATTATGCTATAGGTAAATATTTGAGGTCTGAATAAGGGACCGTAAGAGCACACAGAGGAAGCACTTGGGTTCAGCCTGGAGTTCTTACAGAGCAGCACTGTCCAGAAAAAATATAGTACAAGTCAGATACTCAATTTTAGAGTTTCTTGAAGCCAAATTTAAGAAGTGAAAAATATGGAGAGATCAATTTCATAATATACCAAAATATTATCATTTCAATGTATAACATTTTAAAAATCATTACCATAAAAATATTTTACATTCTTTTTTTTGTACTAAGTCTTTGAAATCTGGTGTGTATTTTATACTTAGAACACATCTCAGTTCAGACTAGCCACACTTCAAGTGCCCCGTAGGTCTAGTATCTCCTATATTGATCAGCAGATACAGAAAGCTTCCTGGAGGAAGTGACATTTGAGCTAAAGGAGGAGGTTGGGCCCTATTTCTAATTACTCCTGAGAAGGATGAGATTGTGATTCACTGGTGACTTTGATCCCAGGCTCTACTTCTCTAGGATAATACCCTGTGTGGTTGGCAGAATAACGACCCCCAAAGATGTCCACTTCCTGATCTCCAGAAGTTGTGAATATGTCACTTTACCTGACAAGGGGGAATTAAGGTTGTAGATGGAATTAAGATGCTAATCAGCTCACCTTGAAATGGGGAGCGTATGCTGGTTTACCCAGGTGGGCCTAATTTAACTACAAAAGTCCTTACAAGTGAAAGAGAGAGGCTGGAGACTCAGCGTCAAGAGAGATGCCACATGAGAAAGACTCCACCAGCCATCGCTGGTTTTGCAGATGGAAAGGGAGGTTGTGAGCCAAGGAACGTGAGTGGCCTCTAGAAAATAGGAAAGGTAAGGACCCAGACTCTCCCTTAGAGCCTCCAGAAGGAACACAGCTCTGTTGACACTTTAATTTTTGTCCAGTGAGACCCATTTCAGACTTCTGACATTAAGAGCAGTAAGATAATAAATTTGTCTTGTTTTAAGTTACCAATTTTGTGGTGATTGTTGTAGTCGTAGCAGCCAAAGGAAACAGCCTCATTTCCTTCTTCTGCCCTGGTAGCCCCAGCTTGATCCCCACTCCTTGAATGCGTTCCGCGGATGTGGGTTAGGTCACTGAGGACACCAGCTGGGGGGTTTCCCGGCTGCTGCCACCGTCACCCCCACCACTAGACTACACTCATGTTCCGAGGTCCTATGTCCACAGTCAGCAATCATGTGACACTCCTGTTTCCTGAACAGTCTGTTAAATGAGACACTGTAGGTGAAAGTCCTTCCTCTTCACAAAAACTATCGTTGTCTGGTACTGCTGTTCATAATGTTAACTAAAAGGAAAGGTTATTAATAATAGGGAAACTGGGGGAGTGAGGGAGTATACGGGAACTCTGTACTTTCTGCTCATTTTTCTATAAACTGAAAACTGTTCTAAAAATAAAATCAATTAATTTTTTAAAAAGTAATTTACAAATAAATCAAGTAATTTACAAATAAAAAAAAGTAGAGGGAAAATGGCTCACAACCCAATACCTGCAAATATGTGGAAGGCCTTGTTAGCAAGATGTAAAGGAGAGATAGGATTAGAAGAGTAATAAGGATGCTTTTCAAAGCACAGAAGGAAGACTGTACTATGTGAAGCAATAAGGGACCAGGAAAAGAAGGCTCAATTCCATGAGTCCACGGAAAAATGGGCGTGACTGTACTTTTGTTCTTCAGGGATGCAGGACCTTTGGTGTCCCATTCCTTTACGATGGGTATATAATGAAAGGAAAATGGGCCAAGTAATTTAAATAATGATTTCTGTCCACCACACCCAGTCTTGCCCCACTGAGAACCATCTGAGTGTATTCTTAACCTTTCCTCATGTTGAGAGAAGGCATCACCACCTCTGAGAGGGCAGACCTGTCTCGCTTCTCCAGAGGAGTCTGCAAGGTCCCCTGGATGACTGCCAATGCCTGAAACTCACAAGGGTGCCTGTGAAAGGAGAGCGCAGGTTGTCCTTCACCCCTTCCGGGCAGCAAGGCTGCCTTTCTTACCAAGACTCCTGGGAAAAGTGAGAGAGAGACTCATGTGAATAGTATTCTCCTTACTGGCTCGCGGGAGGAGGCTTGGAGAAGACACTGAGTGGTGTGGAGAGGGACACACACCTCGGTTAATATTCCTCATTTGTTTCCGAGAGTTTAGGATGAAAGACAAGCCTCATCAGGCTTCACCTCCTGCGTCTAACCAGCCAGGTAAAGACAACTTTTTTTTTTCTTGTTTTCCTATTTTTTAAAAACGGTGCATTATAAGAGTGTTTAAGTTGTAAGAGAGCAGTGAATTCAAGGCCCCTTGAGGAAAAGAGCAGGAAGAAAGGCTGCCCAGAGAACATCAGTGCTCTCTCTGCGCTGAAAGCCCTCCATGCAAATGGACAGGGAGATTTATTACTCACTGCAGGTTACAGAGCAGATGCTTGCTACTTCAGAGATTTGGCACTCTGGGATTTATAGACTTAATATAGTTTATGCTTTGGTGGACTCATTGGTTGGGAAAGTATAAGATTCCTTGGCAATAAAACTTAAAGCAGCGATAATAAACCACATCCTACAGGGTTTGAGAATCTCCCTGCACAGGTCCCACCAAACCATCTGCCTGGATAAGACAGTTCCAGGCAATTCTTACCCCAGCCCCGCTCCTCCCTCAGTGATGCGGCCAGTGTCTCAAGAAGGGAAACTCAGAGAGTGAAACTGGGTGAAGATGAGCAACTTCATGCCCGGCCAGACGGGACGCCTAGGGCTCCTTGAAAATGCGAAAGGGAAAGAGGTAGCTTTGTTGTAGGTGTCTACGCTGATATGTTATCTTGCTGCCAATTGAAACAGTCGCAAAGAAGAACAAACGTGTTTCAGCATATGGACACTGCCTCACACAAATATGGAAAAGAAGATGGCAAATAATTGGTTATTGGAAATCAGTGTTTTCCTTTTCTTGATCACATCCTAAAGTACTTATTACCTGGCAAGAAAATGATGCAGTTCAGCTGGAAGCTTAAGGTGCCCAGAGATGGGTTTAATTCAATAGCATCATCGAAGTGCAACATTTAAGCACCTAGCTATTAGGGAAGGAAGGGGAATATGTCTGTGAGTCAGAGGCTGGGAGCATTCCTAAGAAAATATAAGTTTAATTACCTTTGTGGTATTTCAGGGCAGAGGCAGGCAGGCCTGGGAGGTGGTAGATGAGAACCCAGGGATGCATGGTTCCCAGACCTGCCCCAGCCATCAGAAGACTCCCTAAATACAAAGCACAGTCAAGGACAAAACAAAGGGAATAGCCCAGAAGATGAGGCTGCAACTCTGCTATTTTTAAACTGCCAATTAGAATGTCTAAAATTACGTGGCTGGAACTACCACATCCGCTTCAAGATAATCATACTCTTCTGAGCTGAAGTCTTAAACCTTCTGTTTTCCAAGCCCCTGATCAGAATATTTTAAAAGATCATTTCTTGGCTACATTAGGCCCAAAGCCAACTTGTGCTTCAGTATGTTTTCTCCTGGGAATGACTTTTCTTGGTTATAGTTCTCAAAACCTGTCTTTTGAATATTTTTGTTTGTTTCTGGGAGGGGGGGAATAAAGAAGAAAATAGAGATTAAAAAACAAAAGAAACAGAAAGAAAAATATCAGAAAAAAAAAAATTTTATAAAAAGTTAAAAAAAAAAAAGTGACAGGGTTCTGTGAGTCTGTTTGATCGATCAAATTAAAGTGATTAACGTAGGCCTGTTCACTACTCACCCTTGGCCTCCTGTTAGCCCTTCTTTCCCTCCAGGTTTCACTGTCCAAGCAGGAAGAATATGATGTTTTGCTTAAGGCAAATGAATCCAGTTTCCTCCACTGACATCGGACCCCAGAGAGTTCAGTTCAAATGAAATGAGAAACAGTGCATATTAAAATCCTCATCAAGCCCACTTCAAAGACCTGATACAGAGTCTAGGCTTCATGAAAGCCTGCATGAACCAAAAAAGTGTGTCGAATCCCCAGTAATTCCTGCAACATCCACACTGCACACTACCCACCTTGGCTGTCTATGCAACATGTGGCTAGTATGTAGCCTCTTGAAGCTACCTGATATAAGAGGACAACTCTGAAACACAATAAGGACTGAAACAAAAAGATGCCAAAAAAAAATCTATCTGTATATGCCATATATGTGTATATATATAGGCAGTGTTTAAGTAAAATTAATTTTATTTAATGGATTATTAGGTTTTAGCTCATGCCTCTGTATGGTTCGGGGTGGGGTGGGCGTTGAAGTATACTTGATTTACAATGTGTTAGTTTCCGGTGTACAGCAAGGTGATTCAGTCATATATATATATATAAATTTTCATATTCTTTTTCATTATAGGTTATAAGATATTTAATATAGTTCCCTGTGCTATACAGTAGGACCTTGTTGTTTATTTTATATACAGTAGTTTATATCTGCTAATCCCGAACTTCTAATTTCTTTCTCCCTGCCCCTTTCCCCTTTGGTAACTATGTTTGTTCTCTCTGTGAGTCTATCTCTGTTTTGTAAATAAGTTCGCTTGTATCATATTTTAGATTCCACACATAAGTGATATCATGTAGTATTTGTCTTTCTCTGACTTACCTCACTTAGTATGATAATCTCTAGGTCCATCCATGTTGCTGCAAATGGCATTATTTCATTCTTTTTTATGGCTGAGTAATATTCCATTGTATATATGTACCACATCTTCTTTATCCATTCCTCTGTGGATGGACATTTAGGTTGCTTCCATGTCTTGGCTATTATAAACAGTGCTGCTATGAACACAGGGGTGCATGTATCTTTTTAGATTATAATTTTCTCTGAATATATGCCCAGGAGTGGGACTGCTAGATCATATGATAACTCTATTTTTAAAGGAACCTCCAGACTGTTCTCCACAGTGGCTGCACCAATTTACATCCCCACCGACAGTGAAGGAGGGTCCCTTTTCCCCACATGGTCAGCATTTATTGTTTGTGGACTTCTTAATGACGTATGCCTCTGTATGTTGTGAGGAAAGCACATTCTATGTGGTCATTTGGAAGTTGTATCCTACTTCCCATGATTGTGTATTTATTCTTTAAATTCTGTCAGTCAGGAGGAGAGTTTTAATTTGTTTTTCTCAGAAAGGAATATGAAAGATTCTTGAGGACAAATAGAGCAAGTGTTTTCCATGCCTTGGGAGAGGGCATGTGTGTCCACCATGTGCACACTTGTTCCAAGTGACGGGGCTGGTGAGAAGGCCGGCTGTCCCCTGGCGGCCTCTTGCCCCCGTGCAGCTCGGCCCTGGGAAGCTCCTTCCCAAGAGGCGACCAAAAGAAGCTGGAAATGATGTGAAGGAAGGACTGTTGCCACCTTCAGCATCTCTGTCTGGATCAGTCTTCAATGTATTTTCCAATTATTACATTTCCCAGAACAACATTTATCCCCTATAACCTCACATTTAACAAAAGGCTGCTTATACCATAAAAAAAGGCAAACGGTGGTGAACACAAAATTACTTTTTAAATGTGTGCTTATGGCTTCTAAGCATTTACAAATGTATCTGTGTACACAGTGCAACCAGCACCATGGCACACATCTTGCAGCTGAAGCCACTTTAAAATGAGGTTCTATTGGCCTTTCAGTAACTACAACCCCTCGGATGAATGCAAGATGAGGCAGAGAGCTCTGCCCCAGGTTCCAGGGCAGTATCGTTAAGAGATCTTAAAAGATACAAATAGCAGTGGTTCTATATTATTGTGGGGAAACTGAGTTACACTCTAATTAAATAATTGTTCCAAAATTAAACTGAAAAAAAGAAATCAGGAATGGAGTTCAAGTGGAATCCTGGTCTCCTAGCCCTTATCATCTAGCCCTTTTCTCATTTAACTACTACAGTATATCTTCTTTCTGCCACAATAAATAGTATAAGCTCTCTTCTCTCCTGAAAAGAGTTCATTCTGGGGACCAGACAGGGTGCCTATTTCTTTTTAATACTGCCCCTCAGTCCTGTGAGCTCTGATTAAATGATTTCACATGCTGAGTTCAATAATTGGAGTTGCCTAGTTCCCGACCATTTGTTTGCCAGCCATAATAAGTGTCACTGTTTTAAGGGAATGACTGATATAGTGGAGGAGCGAGAAAGGGGCTGGGAGGACTAGCAAACAAGGAATCCTATTCAGAAGAAGTGAGGCGCTAAAGGTCACCACTGCCCAGCTTCCCAGGCACGCCCCCATCCCCCCACCCTCCCTACACCTACTCTCTCATAAATTACAAATCCACATTCAGAGCTCAATACTTTAACCTTGCAAACTGGATCAAAAACTCAAATTCTGGTAATACCAAGGCCTTGTTTCCGACCCTTCTTCTGTTTTTGTCATTGACCAGCGTCCTCAGGTCAGCTGCTTTATCTTTATAAGGCTGTACTTTCCTCATCTGTCAAAAAAAAGAGACCTATCAGGGCCTCGGTAACATTCTGTGGCCCGTATTAGGCAAGTTGGTTAGAGATACTCTAATGAAAGCCCACCATGGTCACCTAGAGGCCCCAGAGGAGAACCCACGAGCCACAGAAAGTTATTTTATGTATTTGGAAGGAAGTCTACTACAAAATAGACTATGTCTGCACTTACAAGCTTAAAATTTAATAGTAGCAATTAACACATGAAACCAGGAAAAGGAAACCAATAAAAGAGTGTACATACAATACCTACAGTTTTATAAAGTATATAAAAAGGGGTCTTGACATTTGAGAATTCATTAAAATATCCACAGAGCATCCACTATGTGCTCCACACTGCAGCGGGTGCTTGAAAGAGGACAAGACACAACCCTCAAGGTACTCCGGGTTTGCCAGGACGCATGGAGTGCTGGGAACCCAGAGGGGGTCTGTGAATTCTGCCTGCAGGTATGTGGTTCAAGATGACACGGAGCTGAAATGCAGGCTGAGCCTTAGAAACAAGCAGGAGTTAGCCAGAGAGAAAGGAGATTAAGAATCCAAAGCTGAGGCAATGCAATGGGCCAAGGAGCAGAGCCTGGAAAGAGCAGCTGTCAACGGTTTGGAGGGGCTAGAACATGAGTTATTGGAGGTGAGAAAGGGCAGTGGAGGAAACTGACAAGGAGAGCAGAGAGGGGTCCTGAGGAGCAGAGGCAGCCAGGCCCCAGAGGTTGGGATGTACGCCAGGGCACAGCTCTGGGCACCTGGAAGCGGCTGTTGAGCAGGGGAAGGTCACAGTCCATCGTGTTTACATTGTAAGAGCAGAAATGCAGGACTAGGTGAGTGTGTACGTGGTGGAGGAGGGACATGAAATAGGGGATGTAGGTAGGAGAAAGTTGTGGTGACCATAATTATTACTAAAAGAAAGAGCTTTTGTTCATACATTATGAGGAGACAGCCTAAGGTAGGGATGAGCAAACTGTAGCCCATGGGCCAAATCCTGGCCCTTACCTGGTTTTGTACAGCCCCGAGCTAACAATAATCTTTACATTTTTTTAAATGATTGAAAAAAGTCAAAAGAAGAATAATACTGAGGACTTCCCTGGTGGTCCAGCCGTTAAGACATTGTGCTTCAACTGCAGGATCCCTGGTTAGGTAACTAAGATCCCGCATGCGGTGCAGCCAAAAAAAAAAAAAGAATATTTAATGGCCCATGAAAATTACATGAAATTCAAATTTTTGTGTTCATAAATAAAGTTTTATTGTTGCACAGTCATGCCTGTTTATTTGCTATTGTCTATGGCTGCTTTACCATCACAGTGGAAGAGTTGAATAGTTACAACAGACCACATGGATCCCAAAGCCAAAACTTTTTACCATCTTGCCTTTTATAGGCAAAGTTTGCAGAGCCCCGGCCTAAGGCTTGAAGATGAGGAGAGGGTATAGGCTTCTTGAGGGCAGACATGGTGTTTTCCCCTCTCTGTACGCCCAGCTCACGCCTGCCTCATAATAAATGCTCCAAGAGTTCTCGGTGGAGGAACAAGTGAGGACCAGGTGGAAACAGTCATAATAAACTGGAATGATGACAAACTTGCCCCAGAGGTTGACAAAGTAGCAGTTTATCTTGGCAGGGTGATCTTCAGATCTGGGACCCAGTGCCCCCTGGCCCCAATATATTCCACCACCTTTAGTGGGGCAGGAGAGGAGGGGAAAAGACACCAGAGAGCAAGATATGAGTGACACAGAAAGACTCGTTTTTTTCATTCTCTTATTTAAAAATAATTATGAGGCACCTACAATGAGTTGGAACTGGGCAGATCCCCAGGATACATTTGGGGTATAACACTGGTCTTCTAACTAGTGTCTCTGTCTCTTTCTGTCCCCTCCAATTTCTTTCCTGTGCAGATACTAGGGTAATTTTTCTCCAACACAGTAGAAGAGAGTACTCCATGCACCATATTTGAGCCTCCCCTAGAAAAAAGTCCAAACACTTAGCCATGCATAAAGGCCCTGTGTGGTCTGATTCTTCTTTAGCCATCGCTCCCCAAGTCCTCCTTTCAGTGCCACACTCTAAGGACACCTAACAACCTTCAGTTTCCCAAATGGGCCAGGCTATTTCATGCCTCCAAGTCTTTGTTCTTGCTGGTCCCTCTGCCTGCCATGTGAGCCCTACCACCCTGCAGCATCTACTCATGCAATACAATTCAGTTCCAGTGTCACTAGTTTTGTAGCTGGCAGAAGTGAGGATAGCACATAGCACTGGGTAGAGAGGTGGGAAGCCTGGATATGGAAAAGATTGAGACCCAGGATCCTGTTTATTAGGGGCGAGCATAGGGGTAAGACAGCATTGGCAGGCTCAGAGCTGAGGTTGGGACTCAGGGCTTGAGCTGTTTTCAGGCTGTCAGAAGCTATTGATTTTATAAGAGCTGGAGTTCTCAAACTTTGGTGTGCATCAGAATCACCTAGGTGATTTTTTAAAACACTGGTATCCAATTAGAGTGGCTGAAATTTAAAAGACTGACAATACCAAGTGTTGGTGAGGACATGGAATAACTACAGCTCTCAAACAGTGCTGGTGAGAATCTAAAAATGGTGCAGCTGTTACCAAATCAGGGTTATTTTGCCCCAAGCACAGCAAGCCAAAACTATGAGACCTTGAGGTTTGCAGCAAAGATAAGGTATGTGTGCAAGGCAGCCAAGAGAGCTGGGAGTGGAAGGGGTGGAATCTCAGATCCAGAATCCAGATCTGCCTCCCTAAGGCAAGGGGCTCGGGGTATTTATGGGATAAGGAATAAAGCAGCAGGGTGTCTGAGGTGTGGAGGGAGTGGGCAGTGTGGAGAAAAGTGATTGGTAAAAGATGTGGTAATGGTCATCTTTCTGCCCAGGTGTAACTAAGATACAGGGCCTCTGCACTCAAATGTGCAGGCACCTGGCAGGATCAGAGGGTGGAGTTTTCAGCCCTGTGACGTCTAAAGGTCACAGGGAGGTCACTCACGCATGTCCAGTTGGAGGGTCAGTGGTCCTATCCAGTCTTAACCAGCTCAGCTCCAAGTAGACACAGCTGACTCCAAGTTCCTGAAAACAACTCAGGCAAGCATCTTACCCTTTAAGCTACATGCTGCGTGGAGGGCCTGCAAGTCGTAAAACCACCTTGATTAGGGAAGGCAGGAGAAAGGGATTTGACTAAGAATTACTCACCGTTTCACAGCCATTTTGGAGAACAACTT